TACAAATAGCTCAATTTCGTTTCTTTTTATGGCTGAGTAATATTCCATTGTATATATGTGCCACATCTTCTTTATCCATTCATCCGATGATGGACACTTAGGTTGCTTCCATGTCCTGGCTGTTGTAAATAGAGCTGCAGTGAACATTGTGGTACATGACTCTTTTTGAATTACGGTCTTCTCAGGGTATATGCCCAGTAGTGGGATTGCTGGGTCGTATGGTAGTTCTATTTTTAGTTTTTTAAGGAACCCCATACTGTTCTCCATAGTGACTGTATCAATTTACATTCCCACCAACAGTGCAGGAGGGTTCCCTTTTCTCCACACCCTCTCCAGCATTTACTGTTTGTAGAGTTTTTGATGATGGCCATTCTGACTGGTGTGAGGTGATACCTCATTGTAGTTTTGATTTGCATTTCTCTAATGATTAGTGATGCTGAGCATCCTTTCATGCCACACATTACATCTCATTGACAGTCCCTCCCTCTGCCATGACCCCTTCTCCAACACACGCTTTTTAAAAGTCCATTTGTGGGCTTCCCTGGTGGCGCAGTGGTTGAGAGTCCACCTGCTGATGCAGGGGACACGGGTTTGTGCCCCGGTCCGGGAAAATCCCACATACCGCAGAGCGGCTGGGCCCGTGAGCCACGGCTGCTGAGCCTACGTGTCCGGAGCCTGTGCTCCGCAACGGGAGAGGCCACAACAGTGAGAGGCCCACATATCGCAAAAAAAAAAAAAAAAAAAAAAAAAGTCCATTTATTGAAGAAATTGGGTTTTCTGTCGTATCAAATTTCCCAATTCTGGATTTGGCTGATTGTGTCTTCACGGTGCCTTGTAACACATTAGTCTAGTCCTTGAACTTCCTATAAATTGGTAATTCGATGTACAGTCTTAATTAGATTGTTTTCATATTTACAAAAATATTTGTAATATATTTGATAAATCAATTTATCTATCTATATCTATATCTCTATCTCTCTCTCTATATATATATATTTGCAAAAATACTTCATTAGTGGGTAAGTCAGCTTCCTAACGCATCACAGCAGAAGCCATACTGGCCACCTGTCCCACTCATAATCTTCCCTTTCGAAACGCCCCTGGCTCCTGGTTCTCCTCTCCTTTGTCTTTGCCATTTCTTCTCAATTCCTTTTACAGACTCCTCTTTACCTGCATGTTAAAGTCATTGTCTTCAGGGCCCCACTGTCACTGGTCCATTCCTCCTAGTCTGTATATGGTCCCCTTTTCCATATCCATAAGGCTGAGGACTCAGAAGTCTATATATATATTATTTTATTTTATTTTATTTTTGGCTGCATTGGGTCTTCGTTGCTGTGTGTGGGCTTTCTCTAGTTGCGGTGAGCGGGCCTCTCATTGCGGTGGCTTCTCTTATTGTGGAGCACGGGCTCTAGGCGCGCGGGCTCAGTAGTTGTGGCACACGGTCTTAGTTGCTCCGCGGCATGTGGGACCTTCCCGGACTGGGGATCGAACCCGTGTCCCCTGAATTGGCAGGCGGATTCTTAACCACTGTGCCACCAGGGAAGTCCCAGAAGCCTGTGTCTTTGATGTGGACCCTCTCCACTGAGTTCCAAGCCCGAATATCCAGTGACCGACAGGATGTCACTGGGTATCCTGTGAGCTATTCAAACTCACTGTGTCCCCAAATGGAGTTAAGTATCCTTCTTCCTCAACCTGTTTCTCAGTGTTTTCTTTAGCTCAACGATGAGAACCACTATCCAAGACAGAAACCCGAGCCATCCTAGACTTTTCCTCACCTGCTCCAAATTGCCAAGCCCCAGAACATCCATTTCTTCAATAGCTCGACTGTGTCCCCTCTTCTTGCTGCTATAGGCTCATTTCTAAAATTCAGAACAAAGAACATTATCCAGAATCACACATTCTCCAGCAGGACTAGAGCCTAACCCCGTGCTCCAGCATGGAGCACACTGGAATCTTGCTGAGGGCCATAATCAGCTCCAGATTCTTCACCGTGCTCTGGATACACTGTGCTTTAAACATATTGTGAATATGGTTGTAGAGGCCAAGTTCAGCAGGGTGGAGCAGCTAAAAGTGGGGAGTTCAGGAGTCAGAACATCTGGGTTTGACCCTCACTTCCACCACTGAGAGCAAACTTAAGTTGGTCAATTTCTCTGTACTTCAGTTTCCTCATCTGTGAAATGGAAATAATATTCCTTCACCACTTTCCTGAAGTCCCCAGATCTCTGGAAACTGGAAGTTGTGTTACATTTTGTTTTTAAATAATTTGTTTGCCAGCCAAACCTGACTAGACTAGACTATAAGGATTTGATGACAAAACCTGACGCGAATGGAATTGGGGATATTTATGGTCTTTACTTATCCCACTTAGAATATTCGTCCATTTTACTGCAACTGGCTTTGATGGCAGGCTGCTGCCCCAGCCCACCGGGACAAGTTCCACGATACGCTGTTCTACTTTTCAAAAGTACAATGTCTGAATTCTGAAACATACCCGACCTAAGAGTTTTGGAAAACAGGTTGTATACCTACAATAGCTACTTCATAGGTTGACTGCTAAAGAAATTCGTATTTGTAAAGCAACTAGAAAAGTATGTGGCCCATAGTAAACCTGGTATCAGTGTTTGATAAATAAACATTTCATGTTACAGTTAACCCTAAAACTGAAGTGAAAGAGAAACTAGTTTGTGTCAGAAGTTTGACGAATTTGGGGGCCTCCATCAAAGCTGGGTTGCTGATCCCACGTGCAGCGGAGCGGCTGGGCCCGTGAGCCATGGCCGCTGGGCCTGCGCGTCCAGGGCCTGTGCTCTGCAACGGGAGAGGCCGCAGCAGCGAGAGGCCCGCGTACTGCAAAAAACAAACAAAAAAAAGCTGCGTTGCTGCTATAGCTTTTCTGTTATAAAGAAATTACATCAGGGAGACAGAAAAACCCCTTTGGATTAGCACTCCAATCCTCTCCCTGCTCAGAACTAACCTCTATTCTGAAGCTGGTGTGTGTGAATCTTTTTGAAGAGAGTTTCTCAATTTGAGTACATATGTATGCATCCATGGTATGTACTATTTTAGAACAAAGGATGATCCAGCCCCGAATGTCACCGATGCTGAGGCCGACAGAGCCTGCCCTCACCTCCTTCTCCACTGTGCACATACTGCAACTACAACCATCGCACACCTGTCTGCCCCTCCCAGGCTGCCACTTCCCCGAGGGAAGAGGCCATGGTCCAGCTAACTGGGATGGAAAAGACTAAACACCTGCTGTGTAAATGAATGAACAAGTCATGGGTCCCTCCTATCACAAGTGATCACAAATGAGACATCAGGGAAGAAGGACAGGTGGGACTCAGGTGTCAAGAGCCAGTCCATCCATTCCAATTGCTGACAGGGAGACATGTCTCCATATCTGGAAGAAGTTCCATAGCTGGCACTCTTTGGCAATTTTTAAAGACAGGGAATAGGGCTTCCCTGGTGGCACAGTGGATAAGATTCCGTGCTCCCAATGCAGGGCGCCCGGGTTCGATCCCTGGTCAGGGAACTAGATCCTGCATGCGTGCTGCAACTAAGAGTTCGCAGGCCACAACTAAGGAGCCAGCGTGCCACAACTAAGGAGCCCACACGCCACAACTCAGGAGCTGGTGAGCTGCAACTAAGGAGCCCTCGAACCACAACTAAGAAGCCCGCGAGCCACAACTAAGACCCAGAGCAACCAAAACAAAAATTAAAGACAGGGAATAAATAAGTGTCAACACTGACTGAGTATATACTGTGTGGCCAGCACTATGCATTTTCCAGGCACTAATTCCAGGTGGTCCGCACAAGGACCGCATGTGGGGGAATCATGAATGCCCATCTCAAGAGTGAGGAACACCAAGCACTGGGAGGTGGAAGTAACTAGCCAGCAGGGGTGGGACCAGCCTGGTGGTTTCTCTGGGGGAAGGTAGGAGAGTCCTTTGTAAAGAGAAACACTTCACTCTCAAATAGCTAAGAACCTGCTGCAATTATAGACTTCGGTTTGTATATGTGCCTCAGTCACGTTCATTTTCTATTTTGGCGTACGGGTTTCAAATAAAAAAAGAGAACTGGTAAAGGTTTGAAATTTTGGTCACGTGTCACCTCAGGGGAAGTTAATTCTGATTTTTGTCTGCAATACCCAAGCACAAACTGCAACTCCAGTAATAAAACGGGAACTTGGAAAAATAAGCACCCAGGGCTGATGAAAGTAACGCATTTGTCTCAGGGCAGGGGCTGGAACGTGCAGCTAAGCGTTCCGAGGGAGAAGCATGTTAATACTACATCTTTTCAACAACCTTTGATGGACGTAGTAAGATTCTCAGGTCAGCGCGGCTCACCCCGGCAACGCACTGTCATAACTTATTTAAAAGGCAGCTGGCTTTTACAAATGGACTGTCTCGTCCATTTTTAGGTTTTCGTTCTCAGAAATGTATTCTTTTATCAAAACAATAGTCACTCCCTGTAGTAAGAGCTCAATTATACCTTTCCTACAACAGAGGAGACTGCAGAGGTGAGCAGGTTTGGGAACTGCCGTCCTTGGCTCTCAATTCTGGATGACATTCAAGCTCTGTAGAGACAAGCAGATAACCAGAAGGACATCACACAGGGATTCTCACTCCTTTAGAGCAGGAGTTGGCAAGCTACCACCCACAGGCCAAACCTGGCCTGTGGCCTGCTTTTATAAATAAAGTTTTATTGGCATGCAGCCATGCCCAGTTGTTTACTTACCATCTCTGGCTGCTTTCCTGCTGCAAGGGCAGAACGCAGGAGTCAGGACACAGCCCACCTGGCCTGAAAGCCAAAACTAGGAACTCTTAGGCCCTTGATAGAACACGCACGCGGAGCTCTGTGCGGGAGAAGCGGTATTCGTCCGGCGGGCTTGCATCCTTTTCCGCGGGGCTAAAGGAATTGGAGCGGGAGAGGACGCCTGACTCACTGAAGGCCTTTGCCTAGTTCGGTTGGTTAAAGATACAAGAAAACAGAAACGCAACAACTAGGCAGTATCTCCAAGCGAGAACTTTAATGAACTGGTCGCTCTTAGTGACATTAAAAACCAGTGGGATGTATATGAAATTCGCGTTTTACCTCAAGAGAAGATCTCTCATGTTGGCAGCAGGGCACGTCCTGCCCACCTCCAGGTGGCTGACATTGCCCCCGCCCCCCGGGGACTTTGGTGAACGTGCTCATTAGTCAGCCTTACCCAGAGAAGAGCCACGGGAGAGGGGGAGGGGGGACAGCGAGAGGAAGGGGCGCGGCTCAGAACTTGAGCGGGATGACTGGCCAGTACTTCGGCTGCTTGCGGTCGCAGTGCTTGTCGAAGCTGAGCTGCACGGCCGCCTCCATGGCCTGGATCTTGGCGGCGCTGGCCCCGTACAGGTGCCGCATCTCGGCCCGGCGCCGCTCGCCGGGCCGCTCAGCTGGGGGCAGCACGGAGCGGCGGCGCGTGTCGCGGTACAGGTCGTGGTCCGCGTTCACGTAGTCGTTCAGGCGCGCCGCGTCCAGCTGCTGCTGCCGCCCTGGGAAGCAAGCGACACGGGCGCCGGCGACGCCGTGAGCCGGGTGATCTCAGCTGGCCCCCGGCCCCTCCGCTCTCCTCCTCTCACTGCCCCACGCCCGCCCAGCTCGGAGGTTCTCGGACTCTAAGGCGTGACCTGCGCCGGATTATCGTTATCTCCTTAGTTAGGAGACGCATCGCTCGCTCACTCATCAGAGGGCTACACGCAAATAGAAGTGGCAACAAGCCACCAGGAAACGTGTCAGTCCAAGTTATCCAACCTCTGCAACGGGCCCTGAAAACAGAGGACAGAAATGCAACCATGTGGGTCTCCGTCTACACCGCTGCCCACAAGCTGCCCGGCCGGGCATGGCTGGTGGCGCTCCCATGGTTTCAAACACTGCACCGGGCCGGCAGGGAAAGGAAACGCTTCCTGGGAAGTCCAGTGTTGCAAGAAGTAGTACTTCCCACCACAAATGAGATGGTGGGGAAAAAAGTCACCTCTTTGGAAGCGGTATGGGTTTGAGGTCATCTGGAAGAGGGCAAGGCTAGCAGGTACAGAACTCCACCACGATCACGATCTCTCCGTGCGTCGCAAACGCAAATCACACTACACAAGGAAAGGTTAACCGATTCAACCCTTGTCGAAGGTAAAAGGGCCAAGAAAGGGTAATTCTGCAGATGGCAGGAAGGCCTTGGCCACCTCATCTTGCTGCTGTGTTGCCCGCAGCAGCCGGCCCCCTTCCTCACCGAGGGATGGGACCTGCCCCTTCACCTCCCAGGTCAGCTTAGGCTAAACTTCAGGTGGGACGGTTATATGCTCTAATCCTACGAATTTAAATGGATTCTTGTAAAGCAAGACAGATTTACTCAGGTTATTCTCCCCTGTCAATTTTTACTGTAACAAGTCCTAGGATCATAACTTGTATTCTTACGTAAATAGAAACAACACAGAAATGTCAACAAAACATAAGGTCAAATTTAGCCAACTTACAGATTTTTGTGACTGTCAAGAACAGAGAAACTGGTAGCAGAATGCACACATCTGTAGCCACTGCTAGCAAGAGAAATACTAAGGAGTGAAGATGGTTGTAGGGGAATAAAACAATGATATAAATCATTCTTTCCTTCGTTAAAAAAAAAAAAGCAGCAGAATGGAAGCTGAGTATGGAAGGGAACACAACAGTGAGCAAGTCAAGTGACTGGCGAGATATTTACATGGCTATGCTATTCATGTGGCTAGGCATAGACACTTCCAAATCCCGTTCTTTATAAATCGTACCTTGGAGCTGGAGGGAAGGAGTTTTATACTCTTGGAAACATTATTAAAAATGCATACGACCATTTGTCTCTTAGCACACCTGCAGTTTATTTTTCATTTTTTTAATTGTTTTTCCCCCTGGAGTCAGTGCCACCATCTTCCCCCTACACTTGGTGATGCTGCTCCCCCGCAACAGAGAAAAGAACGCCGGACATGAAGATAAAGGGTTCCAGCTCTACATCACGCTTTACTGCTTACAATTTTAGAAAAGGCACTTTGCCTCACTAGATTTGGAGTTTCTCATCTGTAAAATTAGGAGGTTGGGACTGACCTCCACCGTCGCTTCTGCAGTTCGTTTTTATACAAGGAAGTACTATGGGAATAAGCCAAATGACTGTCAAGCAAAAGACATGCAATATAACTGTTACCTTATCCATGAAAAAGACAGAATTGACCTACTGTGAAAGGTGGAAGTAAACCAAAATATTGGCTTGATATGCAAATGAATGGGAGGTCAACAAGCATTTGTTTCTCATTTTTGGTCTTTCTGGCAAATCTGAAACTTCAGGATTTAAGATGTTCAATTCTCATGGGTGTCTGAATTCTACCCCCTCCTCCCCTGGGGACTACTCTTCCAAAGGCTTGGCATCTCCACCCGAGCCAGGGACAGAAGAGCCCCTCTGCCACCTGTGACACGTTACCAATCCTCGGCCCCGAGGAGGCGATCCCACGTGATCCCTCAGAGCCTCTGCATGTAGACGACAGAGGCTCCCAGACCACGGGCCTTTCACTCTCGAATTTGTCCCAAGACTATCATCATGCTCACTGACAGATTTAGTGACACAGCAGACGTTCAACTTCCTGTCGAAATCAGCGTCTCAGTTTAAAAGTTTTAATAAACACTGGAATCTTTGCTATCTTAGTAAGTGTTGCTCTCTGCCGTTAGGATACGTGAATTTAACCTTTTTACTTTTGCATCTTTATTTTCCTTTTCCTTATAACTTAACATGGTTATAACGATGCTTCTTTCTGCTGCCCTTCTGACAAAAACTATCTTGCAGACGTTAAATCAGTCTAACAATTTATACGCCAAGAGCCGTTTCCTCTTATTGACAGCCGTGGATGAAACGCTACGTGACACCAAAGCAACCCCAGCTGGCCGTCCGTCAGTGAAGCCTGTGCTGTTTTCCAAGTCTGCACTCAGCATGTGCTCATCACAGCACCATCACGGGGTTTTAGTCCTTAAGAGACTTTATACCGTGTAAGAATAAAATAAAAGACACGGCCCTCTGCTCTCAGTTCTCTATTTTTATCTCCTTCCCATCCAGGTTTCCTCATGAAAATTTAAGGCCCAAACCCTGGTCCCCTCCCAGTCTCACAAGAAGTGTGGAGGTTTCCTGGTTTCCTGCACGGCCGGTAGTTGCCCTCAAACATAGATCGGAGGGACGGGAAGCGGGTCCCCTGGCACCAGCGGCCCACCTGCGGGAGTCCACTACGGGGGAGGGCACTGTGGCCTTTACTCACCCTGTCTCCCCAGCCCTGGGGGAGGCCGCAGTGCCCGACTGAAAGCAGGTGCTCAGAGGTTGTCAAGAGAGAGCTCAGACAAAGGCCAGACATTATTATTATTATTATTATTATCTTTGCAGTACGCGGGCCTCTCACTGTCGTGGCCGCTCCCGTTGCGGAGCACAGGCTCCGGACGCGCAGGCTCAGCGGCCATGGCTCACGGGCCCAGCCGCTCCGCGGCATGTGGGATCTTCCCGGACCGGGGCACGAAGCCGCGTCCCCTGCATCGGCAGGCAGACTCTCACCAACTGCACCACCAGGGAAGCCCAGACATTATTTTTTGTAAACAGCTGTTCCTTTCAGATGCTACTGGAAAACAATGACAACCCAGGGATAGAGAAAGAGATGCTCAACTCTCAAAAGGCTCTGCGTAGAGCCCCCTCCCGCAGGTCCTTGAGTCTCCATGGAGGAGAGGTTGGGGGAGGGGGAAGGAAGGGGCACCGCTGAGTTGGGGGTCTGATTTTGTTCCCTTACATTCGAGTTGCTTTGCCTCTACTTACTCACAAAAAAAGAAAAGTTCTAACATTAGACTATAAATTTGAAAACCAGTCAGCTTAAAACTAAATACCCTCAGACTAGCTGGGCGCTGGAGGCTACAGGTAGCACGTGAAAGTACTTTAGTGTATACCGACCTAGAGGACCAAGCAAGCCTGAGGATGCAATACTCACTTGAAGGCATCCACTTATTCTAGGCTCCACTTATTGCTTCCTCCCTCCCAATGAAAGAAAGGATTCTCAATCACTGGTGGTTTTTCTTCCTGTCACAACAAGGTGAGGGCTCAGCCAGCCAGATGGAGAGTCAACTGACTGAAGCAGAGAAGTCGAACACCACACTTCACGAATAACTGAACAGGGGCCTTGTCATGCAGAGGTCGGTCATTTTTCCCAAAAACAGCTGTGGGACTCAGTGTTACCAAGCACTTCTTTCTTGTAGGATACTTGACCAAGGCAATTTGTGTTAATACAAATCAGAGTATCTTTTTCAATTTCAGCTTTAAAACAGGGTTGTAGTGGGGGGAGTAGCCTCCCCGCAAGTTTCCATCGACCCAGAACCTCAGAATGTGATCTTATTTGGAAATAGGGTCTTTGGGGATGTAATTAAGCATTGAGATGAGATGATTCTCCATTAGGGTGGGTCCTAAATCCAGTGAGAGTGTCCTTATGTGAGACAGAAAAGGACACATACAGACACAGGGGGAAACCATGTAAAGATGACGGCAGAGGCCAATGAAAGCCAGGAGCCGCCAGAAGCCGGAAGAGGCAGGCCCCAGAGCCCTTGGAAGGAAGCGTGGCCCTGCCAACAACTTGATTTTGGTCTTCCGGCCTGCAGAACTGTAAGAGAATAAATTTCTGTAGTTTTCAGCCACACGGTTTGTGGTAATTTGTTACAATAGTAACAATTAGGAAACTAATTCAGTTACCATGCATACAGAGTTAAAACAGGAAAAACAGTATTATACTATTAAGGAGAAACTCTACTGGACTCCATCTGTGTTCAGGATATATATAACCTTGATATTTTTTGCCTCAATCTATACATTTACATGGTGTTACCAACGTAGGCTTAAAGTCTATAAAGGAAAAAACAATCATGGGAAGTGACTTGCACTTCAGAGACCCTGACATAGCAGGAAAACATTCATTCAGTATTCCAAGATAATTAGCTCAAAGGCAGAACATTTTGGAGGACAAAGCACTAAGACAAATGAGTGTTAAAGAATGTGATTTTCCTCCATTTTTCTAGGATTAGCATGTCTGATTATATTCTCTGCTGTGTTGCCAGAATTAATGACCTCAGCACAACCGAGCAAAAGCACAGACTTGATTTATATCGTGAATGCCTCATTTCTGGCTTGTCAGCAACACACCCAGAACACAGGTGCTTGCCAGCAGAGCTGGAGCCATTACTGACGGGTCTTCCATCCTCACCCCACATCCCTCACTCGACGACAGATGTAATCCCCAAGTCCGGGGGCAATCACCATGTTTAATTTTAGAATAAAAGTGCGTTTCCATCCCTCCCTTCCATTTTTCTATGGCCATTCACACGTATCTTCTCACGGACTGCTTTGATGCCCCGAACATCTGGACTAGATGAAACACACACATGGTGGAATTGTGCTCAATCAGTATGATTCCACACTTGAATCTCATTGACGAAACTAAGACAGCTCCCTGAACACTGGGCCGTAGGT